CTTGCGGGGGAGACGCACCCGGCCAAGGCTCTTGCAAGGCGGCCCTCTCTCCGTTTGCCTTGCTCCCTGCGCCTGTCGCTGAAAGTGGCCCTGCAGCAGCCCGGCTCCTCTGTGCGCGCCCAAGAGTGAGGCTTCACAGTTTGCCAAGTGACCCTTCTCTCTCATCCCCCCCCCCTCCCTCCTTTTCCTGTTGCTGTTTCCACATTTTTCAAGGGTCAGCACCTGTGCTTATGGGTTGATAGGTAATGTAACCATCAGAACATACATGCCCAACCCAGTGTTTCAGCATTGCCATTATTTATGGGAGAGGCGGGGAACCTGTTTTTGGTCGGGGCCACTGACCACAGAAAAATCAGTCAGGTAATCCACAAGTGAGATACAAAAAAAACCCCCAAGCCTCACTGATGTCCCAGCTGAGACACCTCATTCCCCTGCAAAAGCAACAAGGTGTCCTATGGCACTTTATAGACTAACAGATTTATTAGAGCATAAGCTTGTGTGGGCAAAGACCCACTTCGTCCGATGCATGTGGGTCTTTGTCCATGAAAGCTTATGCTCCAATAAATCTGTTAGTCTGTAAGGTGCCATAGGACTCCTTGTCACTTTTGCAGATTCAGACTAATAGGGCTACCCTGCTGATACATAACCCCTTCCCATTGGGCTGGAGTGCCAGGGAAATGAGTAAGACTAAGGCTCAAGGTCTCAGGCCAGAAATTCCTCTGGGGTTCCTGGGTTAGTGGATTTTGTAGGCCCCACTATGCTCTTGAGGTAGGGCCAAAAATGAGGGATCTAGCATTTAAGTCAGGGCTGCCACTAAGTGGGATAGGGATGGGTGTGGAATCTGGGTAGAAAGTAAGGAACAAGAGCAAGCTGGGAGTAGGTGTCGGGCCAGGAGGAAGGGGCAAAGTGCTGGTGGGTGTCTGGCCAGGGGGGCAGTTCCAGGGGGCTGGGGGGGGGGGGGGGGAGAGTTGGACTAGGGAAGAGGGACCAGGGTGCTGTGGGGAGAGGGTTTGGTCAGGAGAGGGGGTAGGAACAGTTCGTCCAGTGCTTGGGACTCTCCAGGGACAATGACCTCTGGGGCAGGAGCTGCAGGGAGCACTGGAAGAAGCACACATGTGGTGTCTTTAAGAAATCCAGCCACTCCGGATCCTGCACCGCCATCTTAAAACCCCTCCCTCTCACGTCCACAGAGCAGGGGAAAGGAAGGGAAGACAAGAAAGCACATGCGCTGTTGTTGGCATGGGAAGACCATGTGCTTCCTTGTCTTCCCTTCCTTCCCAGTGCTGCCTGCCTTCCTTCCTGCAGCATGGGGAGGAGAGGGAGAAGCTGGATTTGGCACAAAGCCAGAGGACTCCCCCGCCCCGGTCCCCTTCCCCTGCAGGAAGCCAGAGCTAGCTCCATTTTTGTGGGAGGCTGTCGTGCCAGTGTGGGCTCCTTGTTGGGGACAGGGGGAGCAAGGAGAGGCTGGGAACACTGCCTTGTGGTCAACTGGCAGTGCCCCCACAATCGACCAGTTGATTGCGATCGACTGGTTGGTGACCACAGGCCTAGGCTTATCCAGTAGTTGAGTTGACTACTCGCATTCCACTGCTCCCTTGCTGCCTGCCCATAGCAAGCCCAGACTGCTCTGGAAGCAGCCCCTGTCTGCAGGGATCTCAACTCCCTGCTGGGACCACCCGTGGACAGGGGTTGGTGGTGGTTGGGCAGACAGCCCGGCTCAGTTCTGGCTTGTGCTAGTTCTGAGACCAAACCCCGCTGCTGCTCTGCAATTTAAAATGCGGAGACAGGCAATCACTGGTGAAACAAGACTGAATGTGTAGTTTTGAGGCAGGAATTGAGGGGGATCCAGAAAACTAGACAGGTTGCTATCACAAAACTAATATGTATATTTCTAGCTACATTTGAATGTTTGTATCTAAGCATACATTTGATGGATGTGTTTCAGTTAAATGTTGTGTTGTTTTATAGCCCAAGTAAATGCCAATATATCCACCAAAGATTTCACCATATAGCTTTAATTTACCTAGAACCACAGGATTCAACAATGATAAATGTTACAGACAACCCTGAAGGGGAGAGTCATCATGCATTTGTGGTTAGGTTAAGTGCATAACCAATAAGAGTAAAATAAGTATTCAAAGTCTTCAAATTTTGTTTTCTGTGTATTTTTTTTTTTTTTTTGCATTTGACTTGAGATGTATGCAAATGAAGAGTAAATTCAAAACAACTCCATGTAACAGGGTTCTTCCTTTTCAGATGAAATGCACACAATGGGAATTTAGCTTTGGTCTTGTGTTAATGTTGATTGCATGCTGCTGATGGAATGATTAAATTTTGAAATGTTTGCACTAGATTGTAATGTTTGCAATAGACTTGTAGTTCTGCAGTTTGTTTATATGTTACTAATATTTATCTTTATTTTTTTTCTCGTGAGGACACCTGGCATTTTTTAGTAGGCTAATTTTAAAAAAAATCTAGATTAGCTTCCTTTCTATTCTAATTTACTATTTGCATGAATAAATATAAATTACACAATACAGGAAATGAGACCTAAAAATTATAGTAATAAAAGAGCAAAATCCACTTAATATTTTTTTACAGGTTCTTTTCAAAACATCTGATCATGCTCACAATATTACCTTTCCTTTGTATATTATAGGGTCTCCGATTTGAGGTAGTTCCATCCTGGTTTAAAGAAACACTTGAGAAGTCATCTTTTGCCGCCCCTTATGAATATGCGATAGAAACAGCAAAGCAGAAGGCCCTTGAAGTGGCAAATAGAATGCATATAGTGAGTCTAATAGCTATTTCATAGTCAAATCTTGTATTTGTGGGGTATGGCGGTTTGACTATTATTACTGTTATATACATTTGTACAGTAGTAAGTATATAGATATCTTTGAATTCTTTAAGTAAACAGCCACATTTCCTGTATTAGGGATTTAAAAAAGATTTTAAAAAGTGACTGTGTGCTGTTAGGATTTTTTAACAGTTACATGCACTGTAAGTGCAGTATAAGCCGGCTCCTGCCTGCAGCATGGGGCTGCAGCCTGCTCCCTGGGAGTGGGTTTGGCAGCCAGAGCCGGTTAGATGCCCTGGCTCCCAACTGCTAGCCATACTCCCAGGGAGCCAGCTGCCATGTACCAGTGAAGAGTTTAACTATAATGGATAAGCTGATAGCTGTTTAAATGGTTAAGCTCTTAGATCCTAAATTACTGTTGTGGCAACTACTTGTTGAGATGGACTAGATTTGCTAAAAGCAACTCCAGTGTCTACAGTTTATGGAAGGCAAAACAGTGGTTACAAACAGCTCCAACAGCAAACAGATGCTCTAAATTGAGGTATAACCACCAAGTACTGCCAAAAGCTACCTATCCCAATTGAGTCTGAGATAGTTAGACTTTGTACAGGATTTCCAGGCATTCAGAGATGCAATTCCATTTAGATCCTATGAGGAGATACAGAACTGTCGTTGGCATGCTAATGACAGAGTAACTCATAATGCCTTGCAGTCTGAGTGGCTTCAACTATTGACTGAACAAGAAGCCTCACTGAAGTGAGGAGTGTGGGTCTTCATAAATAAAACCAAAAATAAAATAGCTGCTGAGCACAAAGTCCTCTAACCTCTTTCTGAAAACAATGAGCTAAGATAACTTAATAGTTTAAAGCACAGCTGTGGCAGTGCTTCAGACTGAAAATGTGGCCATGGCACAAGTGCTGGGAGCAAACTCTCCCAGTGCTCCATGTAAACCACCTATGCAAGGGAAGTAGCTACAGTGCTGGGAGTAGCTGTAGTCTGGTTCACATTAGCATTTAATAGTGCTGTATTTTGCTGCACTTGGGGGGGGGGGGGGGGGGGTTTTTTCACACCCCTGACCCAGAAAGTTACAGTGCTGTAAAGTGTCAGTTTAGACTTGGCCTTGGTCTGCTTCTTCACTAGTACCATAGTCAGGCCGACAGCTTTGTGATCAAAGTTGTTGAAATCCAATGATACAGTAAAATCTGTGCTATCCGGCACTTAACTAGCCGGAAAACTTTAGAAACCAGCACATTTTGGAGCTGGGGAAAAAACTCATTAAAAGTGTGTGTGTGTGGGGGGGGCGGGCGAAGGCAACTGGCACTTTAAGCTGGGCCGCTCCTCAAAGCACCTCCCTGCCCCTGCCTGACGTGCATGCAACAGGTACCTGGGGGAGGGGCAAACGGCTGCTCCAGCTGCCTGACTCCAGGCTGCATCCCAGCTCCCCTGTGGCTCGTGGCCAGGTGGCCTCCCCCCTTCCTGCGCGTGGCTCCCCTTCCCCCCCAGTGCGCTCCTGGCCTTCTCCCTGGCAGGTCCAGCCCCCCTCTGCTTCCAGCACCCCTGTGGCTTGTGGCTGCCCTGGAAGCCTGTGCCTCCTGCCCCCATCCCCAGGTCACCCCCCTCCCCCTGCCATCTCCACCCCTGGCTTCCACACCCCCCCCCCTTCCCACCAGGCTGCATCCTTCCTTTCTCTCCTTCTCCCCCCTTCTCGGTGGCTCATGGCCCCCCCCAGCATGCCACATCCCAGCCCCTGCACTGCTCCTGCCCCCTTCGTAGGCCCCACATGTCTCCTGCCCCCCTCACCCCTGCCACTCAGAATTTTTAGAAAACAGGAATGACCTAATCCCCAGGAGTGCCAGATAACAGTTTTTACTGTAGATGTATTGGCATTAGTATAGATATTAGCCTTCTGCCTAATGTGCTCTGCCACAACCAAGTTTGAAGCCCAACTGATTACGTTAACAAAAAAAAACCCCAACTTATCCTTCTTTTCTGCTGGTATGGACCTGCAAACATTTCCTTAATAACTTTCCTCTAGAAGGGAGGTAATAGGGACTAATCGTCTTTGGTGATCAATTCACGTATTCTGTCACATCAGTGCAATTGCCAAATGAGACTGCCAGAACAAATATTGAATTATTTCATATGCAAATGGTTACACAAATAATATCTATTTGTCACTTTCTTTTTCAGAATATGATGATATGATTTGAAATTCACTTCTTTAATAACAAGAATATAGCAGATTTTAAGTGTTGAATAGAATTAATTTTTCATGGTACTTCATATTTTTCTTAAGTTCATCCATAAGGATTTTGAATACTTGTCTATATAGGATTTAGTTAAGTAGCATATGGATGTAGCATACAGTTTAAAACTCATTTGGTAGCGCTGTCATTTTCTATTGTATCACATCTTACACTAGTTGACAATGGAGTTCCTTTGCTATATTAACTCTTACCTAATATATTATGAAGCTTCAGGGGGTAGCTGAGTTAGTCTGTACAGGATAAACTTAAAAAACAACAAATGGTCTGGTAGCACTTTATAGACTAACAAAACGTGTTAGTCTATAAAGTGCTACCAAACCATTTGTTTGTTATCCTAATACAGGTATATTAAGTCTAGAGTGTTTTCATGAATAGAGAAGAATCTGCCTTAAGAAGCAGTAAGTGTATATCAACAGTTTATTCCATCACAAACAACGAATAATTTTAAGTCCTAACTGTGCTGCTTTGTAACATGAGAAACTATAGGTTTAGCATCTGAAATCATTCAAATTAAATGTAGGCATGCAAAAACACTCGAACAAAAAAAGAGTATGCTGTTTGAGAGCAGGGAGGGGGGGAGGAAGGAAAAGGCTGAGAGAATTCTATAAAACCAAACCTTAGAACTTCTGTTAATGGCTGGATGTGTTTAAATTCAGGTGTTTGAGGAGTATGTAATTACACTTAACTTAAGGAGCCATGTGCCTTTAAATAGTAACTCTCTAAAATGTCATTGTGGGACTTATGTTTAATCTGTCCCAATGATTTCCATAGCCAATATTCTTGGCTTTTAACAAAAATTGTTCTAAATTATTTGTTTTGTAACTAGCAGCCTTGAAACACAGCTTGTGCTTGGAGAATGGAGTTAATTATTTCCTGGCTGCACTTCATCACCAATATAAGTTTTGCAGGTGAAAACAATACCTTCAGTTATTTTACCCATAATCCTTGCTTTCTCTGTTTTTTCATTGTGGTAACTGGTCACAATTCTGTTAAGGATGCATAAATTTCACCTCCCTCTTACATAAATTTGGATTAGTACCTTTTTGAATGGTAAAGCTACAGTGTTTTTGGTTGAATAATCTTGATTTTTTTCTTTGTGTTTTACTTTTTTGTCTTCTCATCTTTCCAGAAACATTTTAGAACTCCAGATATTGTTATAGGAGCAGACACTATTGTGGTAAGATTTCTTATGCACTTTAGCAGTAGCTTGAATCATATCTGACCAGTGTCTTAACTCTGGGGATCTAACTTCATAGACATTTAAAGATAGAAAAGACATCTAGTCCAGTGTTTTTCAACCAGTGGTACGACTACTCTTAGTGGTACTTGAGAGAAGTCAGGGTGGAGGGGGCTTACATCAACACAACTGAAATTTGGAGAACTGATTTTTTTTTTTAAGTTTTACAGCATTTTATTATTTTTGTACTTTTTAATACCCAAAAATGTCATTGCTTGCCCACCTATGATTAAGTTGTTTAAACAAATGTGTTTCTGCAGTAGGAAAAAAGTGTCTGAGAACTGGAGGTACATTTTCCTTTTTAAAGGGGGTACTTTATTTAAAAAAAAAAAAGTTGAGAAACTCTGATCTAGTCCATTCTCCTATCTATGAAGAATTGTCCCTACTACAATATGTTTTTGCAGGCTGGTTTGAAATGTCTCAAATGACAGGGTTTCCCTCCTTGCCTTTTTTCTAAGACCTACTCCATAATCCGTATTGGGATCTCTTAATACGTTATAAGACACTCATTTGACAGCTGTTAGTTTCAGGAAAGGTGCATTACTTAAGCAATTCCGTTTAAGACATTTTTAACAGCCAATAAAAATAGCACTTGAGGGCTATGTCTACACTGTAGGCTCCTTGCACAAGAACTTTTTGCGGAAGAGATCTTTCGTTAAAAAGTACTTGCGCAAGAGTGTGTCCACACTGCCATGTGCTTTTGCGCAAGAGAGCATCCACACTGTCTTAGATGCTCTTGTGCAAGAAAGCTGATTAACAGAATGGCAATGGCAATTATAGCACCTGTGCTTTTTCCAATAGGGGTTTCTTGCATAAGAAACCCCTGTTGTCCATCCACACACACCTTTTTTGCGCACAAGCTCTTGCGCAAAAAGGCTTATTCCTTGTAGAAAGAGGACTAACTCTTGCGCAAAAAGCCCTGTCTTCTGACGATCTATTGTACTTTTTCTTGTGCAAAACTGTGCTTGTTGTGTGGATGCCCTGAGTTTTTGTGCAAAATCAGCCGTTTTTGTGCAAAAACGCTGCAGTGTAGACATAGCCCCACTGAATGAATGAATTATGATATACTGAATTAGCCACTCACCTTTGCAGATCCTTCTGGCAGCCTCAGAGTGGAGGGGACACTTACACTGATGGTATGTGCTGTCTTAATAAATAGAAGGCTCATGTCTCCAAGGTTTTTAATACTATCTATCTCTCATTTAGTGCTTTTTATCCATGGGTCTCAAAGCTTTACGGAGGAGATCAGAATCATTATATGATACTTAACACAGTACTTTTTCAATAGACTGATATTGAATGGAATGATTTGAAAAGCCTGTGCAAAAGATTTCAAATTCAGCATATTAGGGATATTTTTCTCTTTCCATTTCAGACTTTGGGGAAACACATTCTGGAGAAACCAGTTGATAAACAAGATGCATATAAGATGTTATCAAGGTTTGTAGTTGTAAATAAGATTAACTTACGTAATTGGGCAACTCTACATAGAGGCAATATTTACTGCAGTAACTGGAACTGCGGAATTCTATAACACTCACACACAGATGTTTGTACAGTGTTTAGCACAGTGGGGGCTTGGTCCATGATTGGTACTCTTAGTGAAATAATACAAGATTATAAATAAATATTACAAATTACTAATGTGTACAAGGGATGTGAAGTATGGTGTGTTTTGAACCTGTTGCTTTGAATTTCCTGACTTGTGTCCTTGCAAAGTCACAATCATAATTTTGCATTAGTATCATTTGGATAACATCTATGGCATTGGGATTGCAATTGTTTTATTACTGACTTCATAATAAATTTCACCAGCACAGGCATTTGGTAGACGTCCTTTGCCTCTCCTGAGATGTGTTGTGCCTGATGTGTGTGGTAGGAGAAAACTAATGAGGAATTCCTTTGTTTGTAACCATATTGTCCTCTCCTTTACACAAGCAATGTTTTTGATAGAAGTACTCTGAATTTACATTTGTGTAACCAATAGCAAAGTTTTGGCCTTGGTTTACTATCCTACCTTATTCCCCTGTCATAGATTGGGGTCCTTAAATCACCGCAGGCTTCAGTTTCTCTCCTTTGAATGTAGTTCATCCATTTGAGTTTAATGATACTCACTTCCCCATGTTTCAGACTCTTTCCATTCCTTAATGTATGTGAGCTTTCTTTTTTTCTATAGCTCATCATTTTTAATAAGTGCCAGTTATACAGTACTGTGGTCTGTTACCAGGCTAAGACACTTGAATTGATTGCCTTGTCACTTGATCTCAAAGGGTATGTCTAAACAACAGTGTTATTTCGGAATAATGTCTGTCATAAACTGACATTATCCTGAAATAACAGTACGTATCTACGCCACAAGTCTTTATTTTGAAATTGTCAAAGTGGAGGACTTCTTACTCCAATTCCTGGTAATCCTCATTTCAAGAGGAGTAAGGGAAATTGAAGGAAGTGAAATTCCTTCCACTTCCTGCTGTGTAGACAGCGCCAAAAGCCAAATTAAGCTATTTTTGACTTAAGCTACGTCAATTGCGTAGCTTGAGTTGCATAGCTTTATTTGACTTTAGTTCTGCTACGTTGATATACCCTAAAGCTGCAAGTCTGTTAAGCCTGTTACACAATCTTGTTTCCTCCTTCAACCCACAGGACAGGGTATCAATCTACAGGAATCATGTTTGCCTTCCAAGGGCAACTCAGTCACCTACTTTTTTTCCTTTAAAGGTTTGCAGTTCTGAGACCATGCCAACAAACATTTATGTAATGTAGTAGAAAAATATCATAAACAAATGTGTGCCAGTGTTGTCAGATGAAAGCTTTAGGTATCAGGCAAATATCAAGATAAGACATTATCAGGTAATAATTCATAAACTATGACATACTTGCATGAAAGGAGTACAGTTCTGGGTTATTTGGGTGGGACCAGTAAGTAGGAGGTTACGTGGCCATATTTCCTCAAGGCTGCTGTTTTACAATTTTTAAATAAAATGATGCCTTTGTTAAAGAATATGTGGAAAAGTCTGCTGATCATTCTTCTATTGTGTGGCAAACTGCCAGTCCCAAAAGACTTATTGAATGAGTTGATAGAGACAAACTAATTTAGGAAAAATTTATTGGACAGCATATGGCTTTCTGAAATCGGTTTTGTGGCTCTAAGTTAGATTTTGTGCTGATGAATTAGGTTTCTATGTTTGGTGAAGCCATAAAACAGAATGGTTCGTTAGAGTGAATGAGTAAGAACAGAATGTGACATTATCAGGACACCAAACATATACTGCCAAACTCATGAAGGAGATTGACTGACTGGAAAGGATCTCCTCGTTTGGTACGTAATTTTGCTTGAAATTATACGTTTGGTGACTTCCAGAAAATACTCTCTTGCACTTAAACTTACAAAAATGTTTGTGTCAGAATTAATATAAACTTGTCTTATGTTACGTTACTCAGTCATTCCAAAATGTTTAAAACAAGCATGGATGTGCAATATATTTTCAGTTGTCCCCTGGAGCTGCAAAATAATAAAATAAATCCCTCTAATTTTACCTCCATAAAAATGAACAAATTTTAGGACACTGAACAGTCAGGACATGTTAATATTGTGGAGACCTGAAGTACTGAAAGTGTACCATTCCTCCTGCATTGTTTTGTCTTTTAGTGCTTAACTTTTCTGAAAGAAAAATCAAAACGCAGTATCTGGTGTACAAGGATATGAGCCAGAGCTGGTATTTTTTCAGTGGTATCCTGTGGCTTATTTGTGGAACAGTTTGTAAACCTCTGAAATAGTAATGCAGTGTGCATTCATTAAGAAGAAAGTAGTAAAACTTTTGTAGTAATGTTTCATTTTGTGCTTATAGGTTAAGTGGAAAGGAACACAGTGTCTTTACGGGAGTGGCCATTGTTCACTGTAGCAGTAAAGGTAATTGTAGAAAACTGTACAGATAGCTATGTGACCAAATTGTACATTCTTACAGACATCTGTTATCTAATTCTATTATAATTGTGAAAATGGAGATTAATACAAAATCTGTCATCCTGTCCCACACTGAATTCTCTATAATTAGATAAACTGTCCTACAAACAAAACACAATGCTATATATAAAGGATGAGAAAAGAATGGGCCACATGTTACAAATGTTAGTCATATCTCCTAATGCACTGCTGATAGGTGCTTAGATATTGCAGTGGTGTAACATTGAAATAGGGGACTACTCCAAGAGCACCTGATGTAATAACCAATGAAAGTACCTCTGTGCTCACTTCAGTGAACATTGGATCAGGGAGGAAGAGGGGGCTCAATCTGATTCATAGTCACTTTTTGGTGGGGCTTTATCCTGGTGAGAATGAAGGGGCTATTACTGTTCAAGTATGATGAAAACTATCACATGTGTGAGTCCTTCTTAGTTTTAGTATCTATGTGGTGGAGAGAATGGATTTCTAGAAAATTACTTTTCCATTGTTAATAGCAGTTCTAAAAATGCTGTTGGGTAAAATAATGGCTTGTTCATTAACTTTTAACAGTGCTGGCCTGAGTTCAAGATAGGGATGTTAAATACAGATTAATTAACTAATCAACTAGTTGATGGATTTTCCATTGACTAATCAATAAGCCAAAAAGCAGGAGAGCCCGAGGAGCTAACTCTGCCTCTTAAATGTATTAAGAGTCTAAGGACTCTTAGTACATTTAAAAGGCTCATGTGCAGCAGGGGGAACCCAACACAAGCTGGGCCACTTGGTTCCTGGCTTATACTGGGTACCCCCCACTGTGCTTCTGATTTTTTTTTTTTTAAATGTATTAAGACCTGGAAGGCCTCTTTTAATACGTTTAAAAAGCAGAGTTGCAGCATCTGGGACTGGGTGCGAGCTGGAAATCAGCTGATTCCCAGTTCACACCTTGTCCTCGCTATTCCCCTGCTGCCTGTAGAGATTCCTCTCCCTCGGGCAGCTTCTATCCTGCAGCCAGATGGTAGGCCTCACTTGAGCCTCTGCCACGAAGTGACAGCAGGACAGGCAAGAAGCAGCAGCAGACCAAGGACTGAAGAATCAAGCAGCAAGGTTGTTCAGGAGGAGCCCCACCCCTCAGACTGACAGTCCTTTTAAAGTTCCTTAGGTGGGAAAAGCAGCAATGGGGCTGAGTGCACTGTCTCTGTGCCATGTGCAAAATGTCCCATGCTGTGTGCAGTGTAGTGCACCCCTGAGGTAATTTCCGCTTTGGCGGGAAAAACCGGATGGAGCTGGTTTTCCAATGCACGGCACAATCCAAGATGGAGTTGTTTGGAACAAGATGGAGTCCAGCATAACAAAATGGAGTCCATTATAATATACGGATCCTTACACAGGAGAGGGATCACGTGAGGATAACCTGTTGTGTTCTCTCCCTCTGGGGCATCTGGTATTGGCTGGTGTTGGTAGACAGGATACTGGGCTAGATGGTCTGACCCAGTATGGCTTTTCTTATGTTCTTATGTTATTTCATAGATGATTCAATCAAATGAGTTGATTTCTGACTAATAGATCTCTTCATCAAATTATGCTGACTGGTATGGTCTCATTATTTCCTTGTAATCCCCCACTGGGCCATCTGCTGTCTCTTCTGTTGTCCTTACACTGTAAAGTCTTTAAGGGAGGAGCTGTCTTTATTCTGTGTCTGTAGAACCAGCACAATAGCACTCTGGTTCATGAGGATGGTGGTATAACAGCAGTTCTACACATGGTATAAAATCCCAGCCCCATGGAACTTGATGGCAAAACTCGGACTTCAGTCAAGTTAAGATTTCACTCAGGGAGTGCCCAGAAGTATCAATTATCTGAAACTTGTGCAAACCTCTTCCTCTTCTTTCTCTTTGTATGTAGATCTCCTACAACTCATGTGAAAAACAGGCATATGCAGTTGTCAGAAAGTTGTCAAGGGGTTCAGAAACAGTATTTAAAAAAAAAATACTTATTGACTCTTTTGAGTTTTACAAAGTAAACAGGAGTGATCCAATACTATTGACAATGTGACAACGGATTCCATTTTTGTTTGAGGGGAGCCAAAGCCGCATTAGATAAATAAAAATATTCCCCAGAATATTGCAATTAACAGAACAGCTTCTGGCATGCACTATTTTTCAGTTGACAGATTATTAAAAAGCCTATTATTGAGTATTGTGTTCCTGAATGACTACGTTGTCATCTTACAAGCTATTGAAGATAAATTGACAATATCTTTGCGTTGTTGATTTTGAGTGTTTTTTAACTATCTAGTTGAATCAATACACTTTCATGAGATGTGGATTTTTTTTTCCATCACTCATACTGTAATATTTGAATCAAACTCTTATTTCTGTTCTATACTGCAGTTCTCTAGCATATTTTGCCAGGAAACTTCCACTGCTGTCAGAATGTTAACGAGTGATCTGCAGTGCAGATAAGAGGAGAATATTGTCCTTGGTTTGGTAGAAAGGGGGAAGGAGACGTGATGCTCTATCATTGAGTGCAGACTGGTTTGTTACCAGTATATGTAGGGTAGTAGTATGCTGAAGATCCTTTAGCACAGTGGTCCCCAACCTTTAGAGGCTGCCGGGTGCCAGGGGGCGTGGCCGTTTGCCTGCCAGGAGCCAGAGGGCGGGGACACATGCACACCCGGGGGGCGGGCCCCCCATAGCCGCGTGCTCGGGGGTGGGGGCCCCTCCCCCGCAAGCACCA